GCATTATTACTATTATTATTATTATTATTATTATTATTATTATTATTATTATTATTATTATTATTTGACATTTGTTGCAAGTCTTACTTTATTTTGACCCATAGGTTTCCTGGCTTTATCTTTGCAAGTTCTGCCTCTTTGTTGGTATTCTGCCTTAGTTATGTGCCCCTCTCTCCCATTTTTTGTACTTATCCATTTTGACTTTCAGTTTATTGGGTGTTGTTTATGCCACCAGCCTGGTTTTTTTCTTGAATCTCTTTTATTTTTTCAGGGCTTTTATAATCCCATTTTTCAGAGTCTCCCAAGCCTTTTCATTTATTTTCTCCTTTAAGATTTTCATTCACGGAATCCTTCCCAATCCTAAATTCCTTGAAATTGGCTCTCTTAAAGCCTAAACACTAGTTTGATTTTGTTTTATTGCTTATTGTTTTATTGCTTTATTGTTAAGGCCCAACGATATAGTGAAACATTTAAAATGGGTATCTGTAAATTGTAGCTAGCAGACACAGAATTCTGAACTGTGAACTTGAATGTCCTTGGTAATATTTTCTATTCTTTTGGCACCCTCTCCTGGGTGTCTTCTATACTGCAGTGCTTTGTAAGAAGAGTATTCACTGCAGTTTCTTATAGTACAAAATATTGTTTTGGGATGCAAGACTAAAGCATAGGAAAGAGAAAAAAATTCACTTTCCATAAACTGCTAACAAATTTAAGTTCATGATTTTAGCATTTCAGAATTTTCCCCCCAGCTTTTAAAACATGACCAATTAGGACTTATAACAAAATAATGAATAAAATGACTAATGAATAAAGATCAATATACTAGTCATACCAGTAATGTATCTCTAAAAGTATGTTTGTATAATATGTTTAAAATGTATTAACATCTATTATTAAGTAGCATAGATTATTGAGATTATAAAAATAAAATACTCAAATTCTATCAATGTTTATTTTAGGATGGCAATATTAAAAGCATTGAATTGTTTAGTTTTCTCATTGAAAGTTGAGTATAACATTTTTTAAAAACCCACTGCATCGCTTATCAAAGTATTCCAAAGGTGCTTTTTCAAGAGGCAACTGAACTTTCTGGTTTTTCTTTGAAAACGTTTAGCTTCTCATCCAAGAAGCTTCTTCAGCGCTGACTGGATGGTGGGGAACGGAATGATTTATACTCCTTGCAGACAGCTGGAAATTTGCATTCTTTTTAGAGAGTCATTAAGGCCACCAGGAGGTTTATCTGTGTCCTCAGGGTCACCTGAGTGATGCAAATGAGTGTGGAGCATTCTCGGAACTGTTGAACGGACTGTGTTTTAGACGGGAGACAGCTGATGTCATTATGCCTCCCCCTATATTGAGAGAGGGTTGTTCAATTTTGACATATATGGCCGCTTTGACCCCTCTTTTAAACCAGTGGCCCTGTTTTTTAAATGCAGATGGACTGCTGAATCTAGTCCTGATGGGTTTCTTTTTCTATGTTGTGCCATGCATTTATGAATAAAACTTCATACTGAATTGCAGATCACTGTAGTTTTGTTTTCTAAAAATTGTATTTTAGATATAAGTTAAATTCAGGATGAGCGGCGCAGTGGCCTAGAGGTGAAGATGTCGCCTCACACTCAGGAGGCTGAGAGTTCAATCCTAGGCATCAACTGATGTTTTTCTATCAGGGAACAAAGAGTAAATATCTGCTGCGAACTCTGCATAGGTGTCAAGAAGGGCATCCAGGCAGTAAGCGCTCAGCTCTTTTCAGTCACCCTGACTCCACTGATAAAAGGGATTAGAGCAGCAGTTCTCAACCTGTGGGTCGTGACCCCTTTGGGGGTCGAAAGACCCTTTCACAGGGGTCGCCTAAGACCATTGGAAAAGATATATTTTTGATGGTCTTAGGAACCGAGACACCTGCGTGCCAGTGTTTGGAGCCAGGGGAGTGGTGGCGGCAGGCACTGCCTTGAGAAAGAGTGGGGCTACCTGACAGGAGCCGCGGCACGAGGACAACTGGCACCCAGCCAATTGTGACACGAGAGGCACCGGTGGGCGGATCGGACGGCTGGGCTTGACGAGGGGAGGGGGAGAATGGAGCGCCTGAGCACCAGCGAGGCAGCGCCCTGAGAGGTGGCCAGGCTGAGTTCGGTCTCCCAGCAGTGAGGGGAGAGGAGGGGACGCTGAGAAGAAGGAGCTGAGAACCGAAGCGGGAAGGATGGCGACGATGTCCCTTCCACCTCCTCGGAGGCTCGGAAGTTTACGCGGGTGCTCTGCAACAGCTGGCTCCAGACATTCGGGTTTTCTCTTTTCTGTAAAAACTTCTGTCCATTCACAAGAAGACCCACCTTCGTTTCCTTCCCGCGATATCTATGAATTAATGAGTGGTTGGAAAACTTGGGAGCGAGAGGATTCCAGGAGTTTAGGGGCGGAGGGGGAAAAAGGTAGCAGTCCCAAAACATCTTCAGCAGCCGCTTTGGAAAAAAAATAAAGCACTACATCTTTTTAGTTTTAGGTTTTAAGCTTCCATGCTTAGAATAGAATGAAATGGAATAGGAAAATGGAATGGGATGGGATGGGAATAGGAATGAAATAGGAATAGGATAGAATAGAATAGAATAGAATAGAATAGAATGAAATAGGAATAGAATGAAATAGAAATGTTTATTGGTGAAGTGTGATAAGACACACAAGGAATTTGTCTCCAGTGCACCAAATCACAGTGTACATATAAACAGCAAGCAATAGGTCATAGGTCATAATAATAGTTACAATCAATAGTTACAAACAACAATTGATAAATCATAAAGAACCAGTAGAACAAGATGAAAAATAGGAGGGGATATCCAACCTAGTACTGTATTTCTTTTTGACCCATTTTTTTACTGTCTTTCTTCTCTGTTTTATTTTTATTTTGTTACCAACTGAAATGTTTCATGGACTTTTTGTGACAAGGTTAGAGGTTATATTATATTATGTTATGTTATGTTATGTTATGTTATGTTATGTTATGTTATGTTATGTTATGTTATGTTATGTTAT